ACCTGAAGCTTCACAGCTACCATCATCTTCCTTCTGCAGACCTTCTTTGGTTCCTGGCGCTACATCTGCTGCTGTGCTCTCGCACATCACTTATCTCTATGGAAGATCCTGCTACAGGCTCCATAGTTCACATTTTGCAAGGAGTGAGACTCTGCCTGAATTCCATAGCCATACTTGTAATGACTGTTGGGAATGGACAATCTATGACAGAGGAACTCTGCCTTTTGTCAACCTTTCCATAGGACAAACTATGTTCAAGATTTTCAAGGAAACACTCAGTGAGCATGAGTATTTAATAAAGATGATATCTTTACTAAATAATCAGAAGTGACAGAGCACTTTAAGATGTCAGATACAGGAAAAATGTTGAGGCCATTGAGGGTTTTTGTTCCAGAACTATTGAGTGTATTGGAGAGAAAAAGAAGACAGTGTGAGGAAATAGGGTCAAGAGAGCCGTCTGTGAAAGTAGAACAATGGAGAGGAGTAGAGGACTAATCTTTGCCGACTGTCCTAGAGCAGCTGAGTATAGTTTTTAGTGTAAAGAGTGATTGTTTCTATTGAGCGGGAGGATGTTTTGCCTGATTGGATCAATTTCAGCTTTAAAGTTGTGTGCTAAGTATTGGGCAGTGAAGCTGGTGCCAGGTCTTGGGCAGTGAAACTGGGGGTGCCTGTGTGGCAGATGAGCTAATTACAAGTGGAGAAGTCATGTTGAGGATATTCCAGAAGTTCCTGTGCCATTCTTTGTAACCTGTCCTGGAAGCTATGCATCATGCGCAAGTTTTTGAACTCAGATATGGAGTCCTACAGTTATTTTGAGTATAGCTAATAGATCTCCAAACCGTTTAGCTAGAATAGTGTGCATATATGATGGGAACTTGCCATCGTTCAGTAAGCAGACTCGAGAGTACTATTTTCTGAAGAATTGATCCACACAGAATTTGAGATGAATAATGCAACGTAGCTGTTATAGCTTTGTAATTGTACACTCCACACACCTCTAAGACTGGCCCACTCTCCAGGTCCCACAATATTGTATTTCAACTTCTCAAAGGATAGAATGGAATCTAGGGCATCCTTCTGAGAATTAAGAGGAACTACAGGATCTGTAAAGGCCATCTCCATTAAGTTTTAAAATTATTAGTTTGTATATTCCTATGCAGTTATGGTGTTAGTTTATTTTTTAATGCTTCGTCTTGATTTTTACAGTTTGATGCCTATGAGTCTCTGCATGTGCAACCACAACTCTCCAATAACAGGATATATCCCACACTCTAGAAATTGTGGGTTTATACATACATCAAAAACAAAGGAAAAATAGGGTGCTTAATCGCTCCAGGAAAAAACCCAAAAGATATACAGTGCAGACCACCTTTATGTAATTATATATACAGCTTGCAGGGAACTTTATATACAGCACAATACCAAGCTTAGAAAATAGGAATATAAAAACAGATAATAGTGAAATGTGTAATTACCTTTAACTCCAACTCAGCCTCTGATGACAGTACCTTAACTATGGGGCGCTGATCTCAGAAATCATCAGCCAGTGCACGCAACAAACTGAGAGCTTTTGGGACACTTCTTCAGCGCCATGTGCCTGCCAAGATAGCTGCCGTGGAAAACCCTGGAGCCTGTATCTCACCGACGCCAACTGAACCTTATATTACACTTTTGCAGCCTATGAACACAGCAGCCTCACACCTCAGAATGCCTCATGGCATCCATCTTTCCCCATGGTCAGGTTAAGGTGAAATACCACTCGTCTAAATCTCTCCGATGCTCTTCCTCACAAAATAATGCCATATTACATCAGCACTATGGGACACGACTCCATAGTTCTTTGAATAGTCTCACCTCACTTTCTACCAAGATTTAGCAAGGTCCACACTTCATTGGCATTGGTCTCTTAATTTTGTCACATGACAGCTGCAGATGGACAGAGTAGAATACAGACAGGGAGTAGCTAGGTCCCTCATAGGTTGCCTAGGTCCCTCAAAGGTTACCATATCTAAGTTCCTTTTAGATCTCTGCAGAAATAGTCAACTGTACTCTTGCATATAAATATTGTTTGTTGTGTGTTCTCTTATTGGTGTATTTGTTGTATTGGTGTTGTACATGCGTGCTTAAGGAAATATGGGTAACACCTGTTCTTTACACACCTATAGCACACAATAAATATTGATAGGAAGCGCCAAAATATACAATTTCCACTTTTATTGCTCTATGCTTTGCTTGTCTTTGCCTTATGTTTCTTACTTTTCTTTTCACCAATTTGTCTTGCTCATGTGAAAACAAATCCTGCTTAAAAAGGGTTCTGTGCCATGGTGCAAATCTTATCTATGCTATGATCACAAGCTTTGGTGAAATTGTCTCAACCTCCCTCTCCCCATTGCCCCCTTTGGCTAGGGGTACACATCACAGCTGAGCATACCATTTTTATTACAGGAGGATTATATCTGCTATTTAACAATATACTTTAATCAGCAAAGGCCCCTATTTGCTCCTCTTGTATTAAAAGTTTAAAACAACATAGGAGATTATGAACATCTTTTTTGCATATTGTGTAATATTCATTTTGCTTTTATCGAAATATTGTATTGTATGTCATCTAAATAAAATAAATAAAATAAAAAAGATGTGTATCTAAAATATAGTTCACATAGGTGGAAAATAGTATTAACAAGTTTCAACTATTTAGAATTTTAGCATGAATTCAAACTTCTGACATTTCAGCGTGAAATAGTTTTTCTTGGAATTGCATATACTATTTTGAACCCACCACAAATATTTCTGATGACTGTGCTTCTGGGGTTAGCAGCAGCAAATCTGGGATGGGGGGGAGGGATCAAACTTCCACCATGTAATCAAATTGGATGGTGTGCCATTCTTGGCTAATTAAGTGTAAAATGTCTCAAATATATTTTTTTATGCTTTATAAATGCAATGAGAACCACAAAAAAAAAAAAATACAATAAAAAATATATTGAAATTCACTTAGAATTCAGTTCGAATTCTCACTTAAGTAAAGAGCCTTGTCAGTCTCAACAATGTAGGTGTAGAAAGCAGTCAACACATAAGTCATTTTATCTTTTATTCTATACAGCATGCAAGAAGGATGAAAAAGCAACGGTCACTTTTCTAACTGAAATTTGCTCTTTGTTTCACCTCAGTAAATGCTATTGGAATGTTTATTGGATAAGGAAATAGTAAAGGTTAATCCAAACATCCTCCCCTCCATGGCACTTGCTTGTGCATTCATTGGTGCACCCAAGTGCACAAACCTGCTGAAATATACTACGTGAGCACATGACAGGCGCACAGTCGGATTTGCCGGCATATGTGCTAACCTTACCCAAACCCCCATTAAAACACAGACACAGGTTATACTGTTGGAAATAATTCGTCCACAGCTTTATTAAATTATTAATAAAATAATTAAGGAATAACAAATGGGGTCATTGCCAACAAATCTTAATAACGTTAACATCCCCCATATACATAACATACCCCTAGCAATGACCCCACAATAATAATAGATAACAATCTAAATAACATGTTAATACAGAAACTGGCCACCCAATTTGACCACATTTCCACCAGGTTAAATGGTAGGGGTGTACCGAGACACCGCTACCCACCATATCCATTGTAGGGGTGTACCAAGACACCGCTACCCACCATATCCATTGTAGGGTTGTACCAAGACACCGCTACCCACCAGTTCCATTGTAGGGTGTACCAAGACACCACCACACCCCCAGGTTTGGAGCCACCGACGGGCTCGAACCTACCAACCACGTGCAACACTGCCCAATCCACACTAAACCTCAGGATGCCCACTTTCTCCTCCATCTACCCTCCGATTTAACCAGGCCATTCCCCACCACAGCTCAGGACTTGACACCTAAAGCTCCTGAGCGACCCCCACCACACCGGAATAAGGCCTGTTGAATGCCTTCCTGAAGGCCCAATTTAAACAGATCACACCTTACATCCGAAAACGTACCCCATCCCACCTGGAGTACCCAGGGAGCTTTCCTCCCAATTCGTTGTGTCTCACTGTTACACCGCCCCTACATCTGATAAATACCGCCATCAATTTTGTATTAATTCGTCCTCGACACCAAGCTACCATGGCCGGGTACGTAGTATGTCTCCAATGTAACCGAGGAACCATCTCAGACCGCACCACCACCACACCCTTGGCCAGCTCCCATAGCCGGTCCACCTCCCTCTGCCTCCACCTGATCAATTCCTTTTCCGGGACCATGCCGAAATCCACTTACCTCCCGGAAAGTTTTCTCCCATAATGTCTTGCCACCAAAATCCCTGAAAACCAAAACCACTCCAGCTCCACCAATTCAAGAGGAAAGCCCAGTTGCGCTTGAACCGAAACGCGTCTCCCATCTGCGCCCCTTAGATATAAGAATGGCCCACCAACCATGTCACCAAACCTGAAACGAAAGTAATTAGTGACAAGGCATAGCCCCAAACACAAACCCATATGTCCATAGCCATTAAACCAAATAGACCGGCCTGAAACAGGACTTAAACCGTACTGATTCCCACCTGCCTAAACGTTTCCTAGGTCCTCACTTAAAACCAGGCGGGGCACCTCTGTTACCACCATTATCCGGGAAGAATGGGTCCCAAATTGCCCGGGATCCAAACCCAACATTGTCAAACCCCTCCGAACAAACACCTGCGGGAATTGAATCGTGACAGCACCGATCTGTCCCCTTTTACCAGTAAGCCACCCGGGATGTCCGGGCAAAGCTCCAAGTAGCATGATGCGCTTAACGCCGGGCGTACCCCTGACCCCGGCAGGGAATATAGCTTTACCAAACCTCCTTTACCAGACACATCCGTTCTTGAACAACCCTACCAAATCTATGTTTCTATGTTTCTATGTTTCTATGAATCGTTACCTTCACCGACTGAGGTTCGACAACCGAGTGTAGAACCCCCCAACACCTGCCTGAAAGGCACTCACTAGCTCCCCAATCCGAATTGCCCCAAGCCTCCGAGAAGGCCACCGCAAGCAAACTCACTGCAAAAGTAGAGTAACACACCACCAGGAGTTGCGTTACCGAAGGAAACCAGCCGCCCGGCACCGACATATTTCATACCTCTCCGTAAGACCCGCAAAGCCTGATGGAAGTGACAACGTTCCGTCACTTCCTCCCAATCGGTCAGTTTGAACCCTAACGACAATGCCGCCATGCTCCTGTCCATTTCTGATGGAGCTAACGCTGAACGAACAATCGGCTTAGGAACCACAGCAAGGTATCCCTTCACCCCTCCTTTGACTGGGACCCCCCAGTGAAACCAACCGCCTTGTCCCACATATCCCAAACCTTCACATAGGCAGTCCCTGTGCCCGGTGCCATAGGATTCCGTATCGATCCTCCAAGCATGGCGTGTTGAGCTTCCACATTTCCTCCAGACCGGACTGTCCCTCCTCCGCGCCCCCTGCGGCCGCCATTCGCAGCTTGTCCCCTTGTGCGCGAGCCAAGTAACCAGCCCCTACCTTCCGCCAACCAGACATGTGGCATGCCTGCACCCGATACCTGAACAGTGATACGAATCGCCGCCATCGGCGTACCTCCTGAACCGAGGACCCGGCTTGATGGTAAACCACATGAACCCCGCCGTATTGTGCGTGAATTATGACTTTTCATCCATTAATCCTTCACCTTTTAGAGCCACAGCCACTCCCAATGGAAATAACTCAAAAGACGGCAACTTCGAATAAGAGGACTTACCTTTCATGCCTCCCGCCACCGCTCCGCGCACCACCTGCCTTCCAGGTATGCCCCGGAATCTATGTTCCCTGAGGCATCCGTGAACAACTCGATACCACCCGCAAAGGCTCCACAAGTAGCCTTCGCCATGAAATGGCTACCGACCCAGTCCTCGCGACTAACCCGACATGCAACTTGAAACTGCCTTATGAACAACTTCGATTTCTCAGTGTGACCTTCTTGGACCTGCGAACCTTTGGCCTGAACTCCCGAAGTGCAGTAAACTGAACCCCAGGCAATCGACACTCTCCTACCACTGAAACAATTTCCAGCCCAAGACATGCAGTAGGATTCCCGCGACTGTAAGGTATGTCCACAATGGCCCAGCCAAGCCCACACAGCAAGCTATCTTACAGATAATGTACTAAGGAACCCCTTCCTGATTCCTCTTTCACCTCCCACTCCCAGACGGATCCAACTTCCCGAAGTAGGAACATGAAATGGAACTTCCCCTTGGCAAGTAGAGGTTACCAATAGGAACCTGCAAACATGCAATCCAAAAGATGGAAGGATTGCCAATAATCGAACGCGTCCTGTTCCCCAGAACCAACTCGATGGCAAGGCCGAATGATGCCAACGATACAGAACAATTCCGCGTCGATGTCCTCATATACTGATGCCCCTTTCGGGTGCGATAAGTTTTGTATCAGACGGAATTTGCCCGCCCCTTTCTAAGGGACCCCCCCCGTGGAGACACCCACAGATCCGCTAATGGCGGGGATGTAACGGACCCACCATCCCCCCAATTGGGCTTCTTTGCGTGACCACTCGCGAACCAAAGTTCCCCCACGGACTTTATATTCGCCCACCACTTTTCCTGGTCCCTCGACTTTGAATGGAATAGCGTAAACCCCCTCAACAATCCCAGCCATAAAACTAGCCCTTCATGGGAGGCTTACTGCCTTAGCCACAGCAGCAACACACCGATCGTCACCGGTGCTGCTCCGAGCCGCAACTGCGGGGCTGAAGCCCCGCCGAGTACCCTTCCTGCCTTAGGTTTTCCTTTCTTGACGTGTCAGTTTACACCGTGACTCCCACCGCCTCCGGAACACCCGTATCGAAGCCTACCCGACGGTCCCCAGTTGCACTGACCTTTCTTCTGTTCAGCACCGCACCACATGGGGGCGCGCTGGCAGCCCCCGGAAAGAGCGCCTTTCCTGCACCATCATTAGGAACCACCCCTTTTAAATCAATGAACTCCTCGAGTGGAAGACAGGAATTTTTTTTTTTTTTATTCCTTTAATCAAATTCCTTATCCTCCACCTTCAAGTGCCCCCCCCAGTGTCCCTGCGAAGGACACGTGCCCATTTCGTTGCGCCACGCCTGGAATATTGCCACACATCTAACTGTTCTCCTGCCTCGTCAGATGTCCCCGGTACCGGTACACCGTATTCCCCTTCCCTTACCCGGCATGCCGTCACCACCACACTTACTTTGGCCTCCCAACCGCCCTCCGGTGACCCCACCCTTCCACACAGCGGGGACGGCCCCTTTTTTCCATGACTAAAATGATTTTTGCAATTTAAAAAAGTGCGGTATGTTTATTGACTCACCGCCCGAACCCCCGTCTGCGCTGTCCTTCCATCCACCTTGCCAGGCTCTGGAGTATCCAGTGAATGCTGACTCCTGTACGTGCTGGTCCCGCCTCAAGCCCGTAGGAGTAACACTCCTCAACCTGCTCCTCCATCCCTCACCCAACCTCCCGCTGCTGCTGTGCCTGTCATTGTCGTTGCGCTGCTCCCTCCCGTACTCACACCTGCTGATGCTCCTCCTGTGTTCCTGCTCCTGAGAACGCCCCCCAGGTGGCTCCCGCTTGCCTCTGTGCCTTACGTCCATTTCCACCCGTCCATGTCCTCTCTTCTGCCCTCTGCTTGCAGTACCTGGCCTCTCCCCGGCCGCCTCATCCACTTGTGGCCTCTTTAATTAATCCTGGTTGCTGGCCTTCCCCTCCATTGCTGCTCTGCTGCGCCTGTGAAGACTCCTCCTGCTGCTTTCACTATCCCCTTCCTTCACCTCTGACCTGGCCGCATCCAGGGCCACCTCCGTCTGTGTCCCGCCGACCTGGACCCCCCGCCTGCCCATTTGGGGGGGGAACCGCTTTTACACTGCAGGCCCCTTGCATCATTCCCCCCGTCGCTCGGGTATGCCAGCAGGGGCAGACTCACGGGACGCCTCTTACCGCTCTCCCTGCCTGGCGGCCATCATGTCATGCTGGATTCCGCTGTCCTTTGTGCTTTCCAGCCCCCCCGCCTTATGGCAGGGGGCGCTCTTCCTGTGCGGCCTCATCCTGGCCTGCCACCTTGCCTGACCGGCACTGCGTCGAACATACGGCGCCAGCTGCCCTCCAACTCCTGCCTGCTTTCCGCCTCATTTTCAGCCTTCCCCTTGCCGCCTCCTGACAAGCTCTTGGGCTGCCGATCTAACAATGTCACTCCCAGGCTGCCACTGGGGCGGCCTCGCCCTCCTTGCCGGCCTCCGTTCCATCGCCGCGTGGGGGGTAGCAGACGTGCTTGGGGCCCCCCAGCTGCTCCTGCAGCCACCAGCCACGATTTCTGCCACAACCTTTGTGACCAGGATAGTGGCTTGCTTGGAGTTCTGTCTGAGGCTGATGGGAGTGAGCATGCAGCAGCTCACTACAGCCTCTCCTGTACCTCCATGCTGCCTCCTGTCTCAATACTGCTCTGTTCTTCTATGCTGCCTCCATGCTGCCTCCTGTCTCAATACTGCTCTGTTCTTCTATGCTGCTGATGGGAGTGAGCATGCAGCAGCAGTAGCTCACTCCAGCCTCTCCTGTACCTCCATGCTGCCTCCTGTACCTCCATGCTGCCTGTTCTTCTATGCTGCCTCCATGCTGCTGCCTTCTCCCTCCAGGGCAGGCAGCTTTCTCAACTGACAGGTAAGCTTAGGTTCAGTTAAAATGGCCACTTCCTATATTGGCTGGTATAACTACTCCCCTTATGGCTCCGCCCTACCCAGCATGCTAGCTGTCACTAACTTCCTGGGGCTTCTATGCCTACCTCCTGGCTCTGTCAAGGCCTATTCCTCTTAGCTGCGCTAATCCATGGGCTACATGCATGGAATGTAGAATTCCTTCTAAAGTAGGGCTAGTTTGTATGTGACGCATGATCCTTATAGACCCTGCACTTATGGAGGTTTCATTATTTCACATGGTATGCACTGGTTGTTCTTTACATATGAAAATTACAAAATAAATTTAAAGGTATCTGAAAATAAAGAAAGCCCCAACCCAAAGCTAATACACGTGACATGGTTATTTTAAACACAAACCTAACTGTAGGTAATTTAACGAACATTTTCAGGAATGTTCAATTTAAGGAGTCAATTCATTTTTTTGTTTGTTTTTACAATTTTCTGCTGCACGTTCAGGTAAATTATCCCATTTGTGCATGAGACGCAATAGGTTAATAATGTTTAAACCACTCACGATTAACAGGTCCCTGCTTGCTTCTTTATTTTTCATTTGCTTGTTTCCTGCTCTAACCGTGTTACTATCTGTACTGAGTACTTCACTCACTGAGGTGTATTTCCTAAACTGTGATTTGGGCTCAATTAAACAAGCTGCATTTTGAACAAAATCACCAGTTTTAAAATATAACTTCATTTTGTAATTTCTGTAACTCATCTGGTTCAACTAAAAAAAAAATTATATTTATTTTCGTTCATGGTTGAGAAATTAAACAGTCTTACAAAATATAACTTCCCTCCCCTTGACTCTTCTCCCGTAGGTATTATCTAAACACAACTTTACTGATTTCTAGTCCCTTGCTTCTCTGTCATTTCTCTTCTTGAACTAGTGTCCCCCGGTAATGTCTTTATCACTAGCACCTCCTCGCTCTCTCTCTCACACACGCACACACGCTCTCTTTATCATAATACTTTGCTCCTTAGCTCGTTTAAAAGGACAGATCTTTTATTGATATCCAGGTGGCTGTTGAGGTGAGTGACTTACTATATCTACATGTACCACAGTATCTTTGGATGCCAAGGAACCTGAGGATTTGAGAAGTTATGGCTCATTTTTCCTCTGCAGTGCCCTCAAGAGTAAGCTTAGTTTCGTTTCTCATTTTACTCTTTTGGTTGCCAAAAACCTGAAATGAGAAATGAAACTGAAACCACACTTGTAGGACTAACAAAGTTTATAAACCTGCGATACTTCACCTGATTCTTATTCAATCACTGGTAAGGTGCCGGTATGTATATTTTTATATCTTTGTAATGTACCACTTAAAGCTCTAAGCATTTTTTCATTTTTTTTGTACCCCTTAACCCCTTAAGGACAGAGCTTCAAAAGCTTGTCTTTCACTTAATGACAACAGCATTTTTTTTTCATTTTTTGCTGTTTGCGTTCAACTGCAATTTGCATTTTACTAATTTATTGCACCGACACATATTATATACCATTTTTTAAAGGACAGAAAGGGCTTTAATTTGATGTAACATATATATATATATATATATATATATATATATGTAGTAGATTATTTTCTGCAAACGAATTAGTTTGAATGACTATCTGTTCCTGTCCAAATTAAAGATAATAAAGTTGCGTGCACACAGAAGTAAATTCACACTGAGACACAGGGTTCAGGTTAATGAAAGAACTTCGGAAAAGTTTAATGGCTTCTAACAGAAAATGGGTGCGCAGACCCTTATAAAGGCATTTTTACATCACTGAAGAATTCAAGATAACAGCAAATAAACTTTATTAATTGGTCCAGGTGTTAAGTGGTTAGTTAGATGCCCTCCCATCAAGAGGTGATGTCATCCTTGACACGGGAGTGGATACAGGATGTAGGCGCCATCTTGTTAGCACGAGGTGTTCACTCGATGGGAGGGGTGCCTTGGCAGC